GCTTTTAAGCTATTTAAAAGCGAAGGAAAGCGAGGAAAAGAGGGACAATTCAAACGAACTAAAAACGAACAATTGCTTTACGCCGAATTGCCGCCATTTCAAAGTGAAAGTAAAATGCGCACGCCGCTTTTACAAGCCATATAAAAGCGAAGGAATGCTAGGAAAAGAGGGAACGCCGCCGCCCCCACGGTGATACCGGTATTACCGGTGTTGTCACAGGTCGATTAACCGGTGGGAAAATTTCCTCACCGTCACAACCCTAATATGCAGTTTAGAATTTATTGTACATACCTGGATTTAGGGGGGGAAAAAAGTCATACTGTCGATTTGCTCAAATTGTGTAAAATTACTTTAAGTAAAACTGAAGTAAATTTGAAGCATTTTCAAAGCATTAATAAATATACCACACAACCATAAAGTAGCAAAAACAAACTGTACGACTTTCAAGAAAAGATAAGAAATAGCTTAGGCTTCTACAGGGTTTCTTTAAGTGCAATACTTACAGCGAAAATCCTTTTCCTCATCTTTCTTTGACGTTTGGCAGATCAGGAACCTTTAACAACAAAAGATTCTTCGTTTAATCGAAAATTCCTCTTACAATTTGATTTAGAGCACAACCTAGTGGTAGTCAGTGATTAAGTAAATAAAAGGTGAAAGATTGCTTAAATGTAATGTAAAACAAAAAAATAACTGCTGTGCTTTGTACATTACATTGACACTTACATTTACATGATATGAGACTGAACGAAACGCCATCATCTTTCATCTAGTTGTTCTGATTCCTGTACACAAAAAAAACAATTTAGACAATTAGTATTGTATTGTCTCCTTTACATAGTAATGCTCACTTCAGCGTCAAAATGTTCAAAAGAAATATTTATTTCAGTTATGGAATTCCTCTACGTGAAATACAATTTCTTTAGCTAACGTCCAAGTAAATGGCAATAACTATTGTTTAAAATCTACATCATGTACATAACATGACAATACATCATATACACCAAAGAATATACATAAATCAGAAACCTCTTATATAGAAACATTACTGAGGCCTTAGGTTTTATTTTTATTTATTCTTACATGCAACATTTGTAGCAACCTTTGTTTTCTGAACATCAGTGGAGTGAACAGTTAATTCTATAAACTTATTTATTAAGACCTCATATATTATTTCAAAGCTATCATTTTACACTTTAAATAAAGACATACTAAAAAGCATTACTTTCTAGGTTATATGTTTCTATGATATTGTGTCAAAAACCAGATGGAAAAAAAAATTCCAGGTTTAATTTGACTTTTTTTATAAGCTGATCAATATTTTTGCACAATTTTAAGGCATTTAATACTTTAAAACAGTACTAATCAGGTAAAAATGTACTTCACACAAATCTCTGACCAAAAAAGGAAAACAGAAATAAAGAAACAAGTTTAGATTTTTTTTTTTAAATATAAATTCCTCTTGTGGGCCACAATGGGTTAAAAGCCAACACCCTATTATTTAACATCGAGAAATACAGCATAAATGTTGTTCAAAATACAAGAAATACAAGTGGATACCTTTATTTAAGTTCATTACCAAGTGGAAAAAACCCATAAAATTAACAAATGTTTAACAATTACATTTTATGCAGATAAAAATTTAATCTTAAAATAAAGTAAAACATCAAAATTATGTGCTAAATCCTATGGCAAGTTGAGATATTCACAATGTTCTAAAAGAAGAAGTTCAAAACAATGTACATCAGGGTGAAAGAAAATATTTTTTCAGTAATTAACACACAATAAATGCATTAAAATGTTCAATACAATTGTTTATTCAAAGAAAACATTTGAAATCAACAAAAGACACTCAAAATGTTGAGACTGGCAATGGAACGTCCAAAATTGCATTGTTACAACAATATTGACATTTAATATATTTTTTTCCGCTTTCAAATGTTACAAGGACACTTTGTCCTCTCAAGGACAAAGCGAATTTAAAATGCGTAGACAGTTAAATCCTTGTTTCTCGTCGTTGCTGTCAGTTGAAATCTTCACAGTTTTCCTGCAACATATCCATGCATTGTTTTCCTAGCATTTTCGCGATGTTTTTGCCATAATATCGTCGATTAAAACGACGGAATGCCATTTTTCAGTACTTGGCAATGGCCCCATCATGGCCATTTTACAACACCTCGTCGAACCCTCTCCTTTTCCACCATATTGGTGCGTCTGTAGCACTCGCTCAAACACGTTTATAAGTTAGAATCTACAATGAAATCTTACCATGTTCCCACCGTCGCGATCTGCTCTTTCGTCTGAACGGGTCGACGCCATTCTCTTCCTTAATCTTCTTCGTTTTAATGAGCTCTTCTCACTCGGAGCGCGCCGCATCGCCATCTTCGCCCGTCCCCGCCGTCTGTTCTCTCCCGTCTGCGCTCCTCGTCCTCTGCCTGCGCTGTTATACTGATCGAGTCAGTGGACTGCCCTGAGCTTCAGCGTAAGCAGAAACAACTTCCTCTCACTGCAGCATTCTGGGTAGAAGAAACGCTGCGTCCATGACTGTATCTGTAAACTAACGTTTGATTTCAGTGACCGTAAAAACAAACACATTTTTACACTAGAATATTGTCAACACTATCATTTAACCACAAATACTAACGATACAACAACAAAGCATTCCCATTTCAAATAAAACGGATAAAATAACTACTTGCCTTACTGTACCACTTATATAAAGCCATGGCATTATTAATAACGCAAAACATAAGAGCTGCTCAGTTTGTAGTTCTAAAACCAAGAAGATCATTTGCATTTTTGAACCATGCGTTCTGACTGTAATTTCTTTTGTTTTTGATTTACATCAGAAATGGTCAAATAAATGCAGCCTTGATGAACAAAAGAGACTTCTTTAAAAAAACATTACAAATCTTACTGATCCCAAACGTTTGAACAGCATATCAAATTTTGAATCATGAGTAGTTTAGGCTACTTGAAGAGACCTGAAGATAAATTACGCAGTCACCTTAAAAGTGAATTTTAAAGATTTTTTTAATTTTTATTTATTAAACAAATAATAATTATTAGAAAACGGCAACACAAGATTGTGAGACTTTGAATAATTTACGTTTTAAAAAACAGCAGCTTAAATATTTATGTTTGAGATATGACAGTATGACAGTGTTATGTTGTAGAACTAAGTTTTAAAGTCTCTTATAATAATGATAACCACAGACCATATTAGATTAATTGAAAATTGCTTTTCTTATATATATATATATATATATATATACCTGAAATTTCCAACCTGATCTCATCATAATGTGATTTAAATAACTCTCTCTCTGCTCTTCTTGATTTTGTAGTTCATCTGAATGTCAACATTTGTAAGATTAAGTCAGTCGAAACAAGTTGAGGTTAATTGATCTAATTTTGTGTCTTCACTCAGTCCTTGACCTTAAATTATGTTAAATATCAAAAACTTCTGTTAATTAATAAGGCCCAGAAGGCCCGTGTCATGTTACTAGTGTTATTATATTTTAATTTAATACACAGAGATATTATTCAGTAATTCCATGAGTTGTACATTTCAGACATCTTCACTATTCATTAAAACCTATAGGATAATTGAGCTAAAATTATTCCATTTGAATTCACAGTGTTGCTATTATGACGTCTTTAATAATAATAATAAAAATCAAATAAATTATTTAACTAAATAGTCAAAACTGTTTAAAACAGAATAGTATATGATTCTTTTAGAATTTAGAATTATTTTAATATTAATTTTATATTCATTTATATTAATGTTACATACATATATAAATAAGATTAGGGTGTATATTAACAGCCTAACAATACAAAGAGCTTTTTCAATGTAACTTGCAATGGCCCAAATAAGACACATTGGATTAATTCTATTGCAATATGACTAACATATTGCTCTAAAACTCATCTGCATAAATTGTATAAATACTTATACCGTTTAATTTATGAACAAGTAGCCCATGTGTACACAGTAGCAGAAGCTCAGCTCTGTCAAGGGCTCTTTTCTATCTTCTCTAAATAGCTAGACTGCATACTGCAGTTGGTTACTAAGCAACTGTAATTGGATCATTCCTCAACTCCCTCTCCCTCCTTCTCTAAAGTCATGCCACGTAGGCATTAGCAAATGCTCCAGGTGGACTGTTCATGGAAGGCAGAGGCCTTGAGCTGAACTCTATTGATTGTTTGTGTACAACCTAGACTAAAAAAAAAAAAAAAAAAAAAAAAAAAAAGTCAAATATAAATAGAAAGCGGTGTCACAGCCCAGATGTCATTATGTTAATGATCATTGTATGGTATTATGGCCCCCAATATCAGCACACAAATCTGGATGCATGTTAGTGTAGTACTGAATAAAACAAAGAAAATTTTTAAATAATGTTAAATAAAATATGGGCTGAAAAATACAGATATCTAGGAGCCCTCTTGTGGCCTTATATACATTTATTTTTTTTGGACTATGATCTGAATAAATTTGCAGTTCTTCCAACATTAATGTACACTTGAGAGTTGACTTATAAACATTAAATATGCCCTTATGTTAGTATACATATTAATTGATTAGTTTTATTTGTCACAGGTATAGAAATGTTATTCAGTAGTAGTTTATCTATTAGTATCTTTTGCCATTAATTGTAATAATCCAGTGAGATTTTTGTATGCACAAGGAGTCTGACAACAGCCAGTGCTCCAGACAGAGGAGCACTGACGAGAACTCAGAGTTAAACTGTGTCAGAACAAATTCATCTTGATAATGTCAGATAACACTTAAGCAAATCATGGTCAGGTCAAAGTGTCTGAATAATTACTGGTCCCAAATTTGTATCAATTTTACTGGTAGTCCACTGTATGAAGAATTTCACAGTTTCACGGGTATGTCACAGTTTACTTTATTTTGCTATCCTCACTTACATAAATGAACTATAGTGTCCTGCACCCACTAGTAAAAAAATATCAAAAATTATATCTGGTGTCTGAATAATTTTTGGTTTGACTGTATATGTGTACATTGCGCCATCATGTGGCTAAACTATGCACTTTACTTCCCTGATCTTTAAGTTTCTTTGCTTTAGAAGGACTCCTCTGTTAAATATTGTTAAATAACAGGATGGAGCACAGGAAAGCCAAAGCCTAATCCAAGAATAACCCATTTCCTTTACTCACAACCTTAAGGGGTCAAATCATGCATTTATACCTGTAAGGTCCACTTATAATGTAAGTTTTTTTTTTTTTTTTTGCAATATAAACAGTCTCATTACATTTTTCATGACCATTTTCCACTCTCTCTAAAATTAAGCCGGCTGTTTTTGCTGCAGGGTACATTTAATGCTCTCTTATTTTAGAAAGAGAGATTTTCTTGGATAAGATAAGGGTTTCAGGTTTTCTGTTGTGGTATATAGGCTAATTCTTTAACAAACACCTCTTTGTAAAGTCTACATCACTAGCTGATTTATAAAATAATATGTGTTCCTTGCATATACTGTTTTAATTGGCTGAAATTATTCAAAATAAACTTTACCCACCTGTATCTAACATTGTAACACGTTTTTAAAGACGAGCCTTTGAATGGATGGATGGATGGCCAGACAGACAGACAGAAAGAAAGATAGATAGATAGATAGATAGATAGATAGATAGATAGATATGATGGTTTACAACATGTAGCATATATAATTTATAATAGCTAACATGACGACACATATGGCTACAGATTCAAATTCATTATTAAAATGTCTACTGTAAAACTGTCTGATGTGTAGACCACTCTCGTGTACAATGCAATATTTCGCCAATTAACACAACTATCAACATACGCCCTTCTTCCATAACACCACGTTTGTGGCAAACGCTGATGCGCATTTGGTTCCTCGTCAGTCTGGACCCTCCCGGAGCTCTTCCGGGTGTGGATAACCCACATTTCCTCCTGCCGACACGCATTCCCAAGAAAACATCCTGAATAACGGGCCGAGCTGCGTGGAAGTGCAAACCAACGAATGAAACAGAACACTCGAGCTGGCAGACATATAGTTCGCGAAGACACACACAGGACATGTTTGACGACCGACGGTGGGAACCGTGGAATATTTAAGATGTCAGCGCATCATTTCCAAACACCATTAGTCAGCTAGCTGTTGTTCACATTTCGAGTTTGCAGACCTTCTCTGTACTAAATCTTTTCACTATACAAGACATTAAGCAAGCAGTTTACATAGGGAAACAATATGTGGCTATATACTTTGGCTATTGCTCTCATTGTCATTGCGCATTATATCAACGGAGAGCCACAAACGCGTCCATCCTCAGCAATGCAGCTGAATTCAACATTACCCCCTCATTGCCCTCAAGAAGAAAATTCATCACATAATGCAACAGATGCAGCGGTTGGATCTCGTATTTCTACCATTTTAAGGGATCTTCCTACCATCAAAAGCATTTCGATTTTCATCTGCGTATTAACAACCTTGCTAATCACGTGCCATGTCATAAAAATATTCAGGTAGGCCTAACATATAATTTGTCTTGTATTTAAATGGCTTTTTTGTTGGTCTGAGTAGGCCTACTTTGCAAATATTCTGTTTTTGTTGTTTCCAAGTAAATGCCACCTTGCTCATAATTGCAAATGGCGTAATTGTGTCTCTGTTCTTCTAAAATATATAATATGCATAATTCGTTAATTTCGGAACATTCTAGATTCTCTGTTAGCCTTGACTCGTTATCCCTGATTTAATCCTCTAACGGCATTGGAAGCAGATGGTTCGCCTGTGGGAACCATAGATTGTATAAAAACAGGTGGGAACCCGAGAACCGACTCAGAACCATAGTTGCCAAGTCCGCTTATTATACGCGACTTTGGGCTTCTTTTTTTGTAAAGTTGCGTATTTGCAAATCCCGGGTTGCGGTTTTTTGGGTTTATTAAAAAAAATATGGTTGCTTGTTAGGGAAATCTGACAAGCAACTAAGTTTCTTTATTTATGTTCGCCGTATTCTCCAATGCATTGGTTGACACTCTGTCTGCTCACAGTTAATAGCCAACCAGTGCAATATTATAAAGGCTGCATCTTAATTTGCCAAATGTTCCGCCCCCTCCTCCCCCTTATTGGAGATAATCACGTTCAAAAAGAAGGCGCGTGACGCTGTAATCCAAGCGATGACAGAAGTAGACGTAGAGGAGTGGAATGACTTTCTTTTAGCCTAATTTTTTTAATTTTTACAATGTTTTTGTAATGTATTAATTATCATGGGCTGTAATAAAAAACAAGTAGTCCTATACTAATACTAAAACTATATAGCCTATACATTTGGTTCGAATAGCCTATATTTTAGTAGGCTATGAATATGTGGCTGTGTTGCAGCTCCCCTTTGAAGCTCTTGTGTTTTTCTCCTTTTCCATCTCTCCAATCCTATTCTGCTCACAGGTGATTGGAGATGAGTTTTATTCTCACTTTGTTGCAGTTTGCTGATTTTTGTAAAATAACATATCTGTTTTTGCTTTTCAGATAAAAGAGTGGTTTCAGTTTAATGTTGCATGTTCATTTATTGGTAGGCTAATAAATAATTGATGATAAATAATATTGATGATGATAAAAAAAAAAGAAAAAAGATTGGGCTTGTTTTGGGCTTGTTTTTTAAGCTGCGGTTGCTTATCTTGCGAGAGTTGGCAACAGTGCTCAGAACCTTTATCGTGTCGTACTGGGAAAATACTCTGACACAACCCACAGCAGTGTGCACAGCAAAAATATACAGAGCGCAACCAGTGTAGTCCGGTTTCTGAACAAACGACTAGTGACTCTTATGAGCCGTTTCTTTTTAGTGATTTAGAACACTTAAAGGGGTTATATGATGCTGCTAAAAAGAACATTATTTTGTGTATGTGGTGTAATGAAATGTGTTTATGCGGTTTAAGGTTCAAAAAACACATTATTTTCCACATACTGTACATAATTTTTTCTCCTCTATGCCCCGCCTTTCTGAAACGTCGATTTTTACAAAGCTCATCGTTCTGAAAAAGCGAGGTGTGCTCTGACTACGAAGCACACAGCGTCTTCACAACATGGCGGCGGCATCAATACTACAGCGAGAATAAAAGTTACGCTTTCTTTCTTTGCGTGAACATTTGGGCTGTGTTATGCAAATCTTCCCACATCGTGACGTAGGTATGTGGGGGCGTGTTAGAACGAGCCGTTTTAGGTAGGCGTGGCTGACTCTTAACTTTTATAAAGAATATCTCTTTGGATTTGAGACTTTAGTCTTTGCAACTTTACAGATCTTCTTTATGCACCAAGAGCTTGTAACACTTCAAAGAGAAAGGAAAAATTGAAATCGCATCATATGACCCCTTTAATGAACGTGGAACGTTTGTGTTTTGTGGTAGAAAGCGAGACTGCGTCAATGCGGTTACTGACTAGGACATATAATTAAATAGCCTATATTATGAATTTTGCTGAAGTGGTGTTTTATAAAAAATATAAATGAATGACATGATAATATATAGGCTAGAATCAGTCATTGTCATCTCTAGAAAGTCTGTGAAAAGTCTCACTATAAACACAACCTTTGAAAGAATTCTTTTATTTGTTAGATCAGTTCTAAAATGAACCAACTTGGCAACAGACTGTGAAGGGAAGTGAATGACCATTTCTTTTTTCAAAATTACTAAAATGATCATTAATAGAACAATTAAGGAATCAGAATCAGTTGGATGAATCGGAAGCGAAATAAGAATTTCCCATTACTAGACTCACTGGAAAACTCTCATACACTATTGAACATACAGGTCATAACATCACTCACCTGTCCTCTATCCCTGGTTTGATTAGATCGGCAAAGAAGATCAGAAAAACACGCAAGTATGACATCATCACAACTCCCGCCGAGCGTGTAGAGATGGCGCCTTTAAATTAAGAAAATGACGAAGACGACGACTCGACCCTGTTCGATGTAAAGTACAGGTGAGTACTTTACCACAACATGCTTTATGTGCAGTGACA